CTTCGGAACAAGAAAATAACGGCTGTACAGACCTTTTTGTGTCTTATGGTTTGATTTCTTTGTATGTATGGATCACTTGGGTTGTTACCAACATCTGGTGAAAATTTCATGTCATTAGCACCTCTAGTAATATATTTACTGAGAAAAATGTTGACGTGTTCAATACTTATTTTACCCGCTGTACAAACATCCTTTTCAAACCTTATTTTATCATCTCACATTGATAGCAAATATAGAGACATTTTGATTTCACAATTAGTAACAATATATATAATCTAGTAGGTAGGTTTTCCTAAGAAGGCTGAAATGTGTTCATGAAAGATGAAAAGTGCTTCTATAATTAATATCAGAAAAATATCATAGACATTATATTCAAGCAGTCTTTTAGTCTATTTAAAATGTTTTTCAAACAGTGGGCTTTCCTTCACTTTGTTGGGAACAGGAATCCTCTTTTTTAAAGCCAGGGTAGAGTTGACCTGCTCAGCCGAGAGCAGGCTGTGCCACTGAGCCACCGGCCGCCGCGGGTTCGACAACATGTCCGCCCAGTGCCTCAGCTGGTTCCCGCTGGCGTTACAGCCCAGGAAAACCTTTCCTATGGCATCGTTCCTGGTCACCGTGTCGTGGTCCCACACAGAGACCACCAGGTTCACCCTCTGAGTAAGACCGACAAAAACAGGATAGTGTTTGTTATTTTACACAGGTACAGGTTGTACAGTAGCAAAAATTTCTATAAACTACTCTGAATGACAAGGTTACCAAGCTTGAAGTGAATCTGACCTGGGTAATTACATTTCTAACCAATAAGACTTCTTGAACTGTGAAGTGAAGTGATGAGTAACATAGTCTTGTTGTTAAATAGGTTCTCCTTAAATTCTTACTTAATCACATTTTAAAACTATTCATCTGTATTGTTCTTCCTAAGTTGTTGCTTTACCACTTGGTATTTATTTACATTTTGAATTTGGTCAAAGCGACCAATTTTACAAAAATACTACACAATAATTACATTTCATTTGAAGAAATGTTTTAAATAATTCTAAAAAAATGTAAAATGATAAATGAGATGTTAAGTATCCATCCCTTTGCTTTGCACTAAGCCACCATGCAACAGACATCATGAAGACCAAATAATTTTCCACACTGGTCAGAGATAAAAGAAGTGGAGAAGAGCAGATCAGCTTTGGGTCATTAAAAGTATCCCAAAAACTCTGAACATCCCATGGAGTTCTATTAAATCCATTATTTAGAAATTTAATTTTATTTAAAAAATTATTCATTTCATTTAAAAACAAAACAAATGCTATACATACAACAAATAATAATACAAAACACAAATAAAATGAAAGGTAGCAGAATGAAGAAAAAAATTCTTTTTAATATCTGCCTCTTTTTCACACAAAACAACTTCAAACAATAATAATCTTCAAATAACAAAACAACAAAAACTTGCCAGGCAGAAATGGAAATATGATGCCAAGCGAGGGTCAACCATTAAAAAACTCACTGATGATACGGAGGGCACTAAACAGAAACATCCAGGAGGACTGATTGGAAGGATCTGTTCATGGGGCAACTAGGAGCTTCAGAAATCTGGACTTCATGGAAGAGTGGCAGGAAAAAGACACTGACTAAAGAAAAGCAGCTGGACTGTTTGGAATGTGCTGTTTGAGGCAAACCCCCAACTATAAAGCATAGCATGGTGGCGGCAGCATCATGATGTGGGGATGTTTTCCATCAGCAGGTAAACTGGTTAGAGTTAGTTTTTCTCAGTTGCTAAAACACATTTCTTGAAACCATCAATCCATTTCTCCAAACTGTAAACACAAAACCCAATTTTTAAACTACTTTCACAGAACCTCTGACTCCTCCAGCAAAACCAAACTACAGCCTCAAAATAGTTCAAACTGTGATACAATGATAAGATTGCGAAGCTTTTGAAATAATCTTTATTGTGCACAAAGGAAAAGGCATTTCCTAAACAAAACACCTGCGTAGCACTTGTAATAAAAATAAATAAATAAAACATTATATCTCTAATTTATAGAAAACCTGTATCTCGTCCTACTCTTCCACTTCATTTCAAACTCAGAGGCTTGGGAGTTTCAGGGTTCTGTTCAGGATCTTAGCTGTTCTTACAAGTAACCTCTTCTAGACAGAGATCTCTGAGGTTCCTGGGATCTGTTGAAGTCACTCTAGTTTGGGGGTCACAACACCAAGTGCTCCAGTGACCACTTGGACTATTGATACTTTGACTCTCCATAACTTCTGTTTTTCATCTTGGTATTCGTCCAGCTTCTCGTGCTTCTTCTTCCTGGTGTTTCAGTCACTAATGATCTCCACATCTATCACTGCTGCCTTGTTTGTCGACCACCATGTCCAGCTGGTTAGCATCACCTGTTGTCAGTCTGGAACAGGATGTCCTTTGTATCTTGACTCTATATGTTGCATGAGTGTATAGCCTATAAATAATTCTTATATATATATATGTTGTGTACAAATTCATTGCACCAACAAAAGTGCATCCAGTTCTTTATTTGCCTCTGTGATTGTTTCTATTCATAGTGAAGCTTCGATGACCAGGGCTCCTTGTACTGCCTTGTATTGGTTTGGTCACATCATTAGACACGTGTGTGATCTATTTTGAGTTGGTGTGTTTCATTTCATTCAGCAGTGCTTTATTTGTGTCTCATTTTAGCTACCTGTGCTTCTCATTGTGAAGCCCATGTGAATCAAAGAGCAAAATGTGTTTTAGTGGGTGAAAATAGGTCTGCATGTTGTGTCTAACTGGATGAAATGTGCTTAGTACTCTGACAAAAGGGTGGCCATTTTAATAAATGGGTTCGGGGAACTGAGCATTTAGTTCAAAGTACTGGGTTTAGTGTTTTACCAACTGAGAAAAACTGTAAAGGAAAGACAGATGGAGCAAAACACAGAGAAACTCTTGAAAGGAACTTGTTAGAGTCCTCAAGAGATCCGCCTTTCAGCAGAACAACAACCCTAAACACATTCCAGAACAGACGAAAACATTCCTAGATTTAGAAGGTTAAAAAGGTACCAGACGCCAGTCCCCTCATGGGCCCACACCCAGGCTCTGATGAGGAGAAGTCAACTTACTTCTCATCAAAATGATAAAGGTAATGAAATGGTCCAGACCTCAGTCCAACTAAATAGTTCTGGTTTGATCTTCTAAGCAGTACCAGGAAGTGATGACAAAGGGGAATGCCTGTCTGTGCACAGAGCATTGCAACAACAGCTAACAACACAGACTGTAAAGAAGAATCAGACATTTCTTTAGATAATTTTGACCAACTTTTATAGGTCTTATTTATTTTTTATGTTTTTCCTTGTTGTTTTATTTAGAGGGATTTTTTGCATTCAGTATGATTCTTTAGACCACACTGATAGTTAAAACATGTTTTCTGCTAAAACTCACCTGAATTTGATCAAATGAAACCTCAAAGGTGAAGGACTCATTAAAGTATGGGTTTAACGTCTTCTTTTTTATAGATGTTGTCTTTTTTTTCCATTTCCTCTTGTCCAGAGTCAGCTGGACCTTCACATATGGATCTATAAACAAATGGAACAAAATGTTGTTTACATTGTTTTTAAACAAATTTAAGGCTTGGAATTTAAAAATTCACAATTTTATACTTGATGACGGTGATGGTGTTAACAGAGATATTAGTGCAACACAGCCTCTGTTGTACAGGTAGTAAATAATAATGCATTAGTCTTATAGCACTTTTCAAATATGTTTTACAATTGTCATGCATTATACATTCACACACTGATGGTGGTAAGCTACATTGTAGCCATTGCTTTCCTTAGATAGACTAACAGAGGCAGGGCTGCCATGCACTGGGACCACCTTCAGTAGGCACTCTGACCACCATCAGTAGGCAAGTGTTTTGCCCAAGGACACAACGACTGAGACGGATGGAACGAGTGTTCAAACCCACAAACCACTGGTTACAGGACGATTCCCCTAAGCCAGTGGTTCCCAACCTTTTTAGACTTGTGTTCCTCCTGAGCCATTTTGTCATACCACTAGTAACCCTTCAGTCAAACATAATGATGATTCTCCAAAACTATAATGTACTACAACTTATTTTTAAATGAAAATTATTTATTTAACCCACAGATCATTTAATTCTCTGGCATTTTATTTTTGTCAACTCAAATTAAACATAAAGATAAAAATGTTGCCTTGAAAGTCAATAAGTAATTAATTAAACCAACCACCTAATGGCAGGTGCAGAAAACAACAGTGTCCAAAATACATTGTATTATCAAAAATATGTCAGAAACTCACCCAAATGAGCAAATTCCATGAGATTCCACGTTTTATACTGGATTCCATTTTGTGTTAATTCTGTGATTCTGACTACAATTTCTGCATTGCGGAAATCATAAGGTCCTACAAATCTCAGTCTATTTTTATGCATTTTTTACACACCTAGGAAATTTTTCCATGTACCGCCTGTAATATGCTTGCACACCCCTAGTTGGGAATCACTGCTTTAGACAGTGTCAAGGGCTGAATGAACTGTCCAAGGTTTTGAAAGTGCTGGAATGTTTCAGGACCTTGAACAATGTGAAGGTCTGAAGGAACTGTCCAAGGTCCTGAAAGTGTTTGAATGTTTCAGGACCGTGAATGAAGGGGTGAAAGAACTGTCCAAGATCCTGAAAGTGCTGGAATGCTTCAGGACTTTAGACAGTGTGAAGGGCTGAAGGAACTGTCCAAGGTCCTGAAAGTGATGGAATGGRTCAAAACTTTAGACAGTGTGAAGGGCTGAAGGAACTGTCCAAGGTCCTGAAAGTGCTAAAATGTTTCAGGACTTTAGACAGTGTGAATGGCTGAAGGAACTGTCCAAGGTCCTGAACATGCTGGAATGTTTCAGGACTTTAGACAGTGTGAATGGCTGAAGGAACTGTCCAAGTTCCTGAAAGTGCTGGAATGTTTTAGGACCTTGAACACTGAGAAGGGTTGAAGAAACTGCCCAAGGTCCTGAAAGTGCTGGAATGTTTCAGGACCTTGAATGAAGGGCTGAAGGAACTGTCCAAGGTCCTGAAAGTGCTGGAATGTTTCAGGAGTTTAGACAGTGTGAAGGACTGAAGGAACTGTCCAAGGTCCTGAAAGTGCTGGAATGTTTCAGGACTTTAGACCAGTGGTTCCCAACCTTTTTAGACTTGTGTACTGCCTCAGCCATTTTGTCATACCACTAGTATCCCTTCAGTCAAACATAATGATGATTCTCCAAAACTATAATGTACTACAACTGATTATTAAATGAAAGTTATTTATTTAACCCCCTAGAATGTTTAATTCTCAGTCATTTTATTTTTTCAAACTCAAATTTAACATAAAGATAAAAACGTTGCCTTGAAAGTGAATAAGTAATTAAAGGGCAATATCGTGTAAAATCAAATTTTTTGAGTTGTATATCATGTTATAATGTTATACTCTCATAAAAAAAAAACATGTCCAAAGCCTTGCTTTGACTCATTCATGCATGTTTGAGAAATCCTGCAGCCTTTTTAGGAATCCCTGCTGAGGTGACAGGTGGGGACCAGAAACGCCTTTTGGTGCCAGAAACGCCTCTGGGACCTGAGCTTCCTCATCACGGAGCACACCTCCCCACCCCACACATGATTCCTGCAGGCTCTTGGCAGTAACACAGCAAATTGAAAATGAAACTTACTGTCTGCTGCTCTCAACACTATTTCTCACTCAGTGAAGCTCTTTTCAGATTCAAAATACCTTTGAGGAAATGTATTTTCAGTTGCCAAGTAAACTGCATCATTGCGCACGTGCGCGACCGCCCCCCCTGCACTGAAATGGGACAGGACAGAAGCAAAGGTGGTTCTTAAAGAGACTCTATATAGAGGTCTGTATAAAGTGGAGCTGCAACGCTTTGGTCTGAATTCCTCCTTGTTGTAGCTCCACAAGCCCCTCTTTCATCCCTTTACTGAGGTGTGTCTCAGATCAACCCATTTTGAGGCTGCCTCTTTAAATCCAAGCAAGGGACCTCACACCCCGCCCCCCTCCAGCTTCCAGACCAGTTTATTCCAGTTTGATAGAGGGGTTTACAACTACACAGCTGTGCAAAACCTTTTTATTTAAATAGAGAATGAAGACCACCAAATTAGACCTTATTTGGCAGTTCCATCATAAATAATTTTATGTAATAGTTTGGAAAACATCATTGAAAAATAAAAAATAAAAATAAAAAAACTGAACGGGTTGAAAAATGTGAGCCAAACAGAATATAAAGATATCTTTGCAGCACCAGGAGGGACTAAATTCAAATTTTCTGCCTCCTATAGACTTTGAGGACACAACAAAATATATCTACTGGATAAAGAAAACTTGGATCAAGATTGCTACTAACTGAGCTTAACCAACACAAAAATGTCTATACTTTAATCAGTTTTTACAGAAATTGAGTTGAAGTTCAATGTGATAGTAACTAAGAGGTTCTTTAATTATGTATTACAAGTGCTAAAACTTAACAGATCTTTCTTTAATAACATTTCTATTACTGTTAAAATCAATGCTAACTGTCTGTTCACAAAGTTTCTTGAGAAGAACTGGAAAGAGTTTAATGAAACTCTTAAAAAGTAATCCTATAAGTAAATTGCCTCTTGTTGTCAAATGGCCACCAAAATTGACAACCAAGTCACTTTACTCAATACATAAATGGCTAGAAATTTGTCAGATTTACAGATATGGAGCATACATTTGGTATGATAGTAGCGGAGTCATCCTCAACACATACTCCAGTGCTAACACAACTCTCACAGATTAGTTTTATGGTTTGACCAAAAAGACTGTTCTGACTGATAGATTTTTCAGAGTGTGTGACTGGAGATGGGCACCAGCTCCCCTAGAACCAATGAATGGACAGACGGACAGATTGATGACAGGTGATTTATGAGTCTGACCTGAGCTTCCTCCAAAGTCCATGCTCCTCAGGTTTTTGGCCTCCAGGATAACCACGGTCAGCTTGTTGGCAGTTGGAACATAACGTAGAGAGAAGCAGATTTCTCCCAGGTTTTCATCCTGTAACACACACACGTTAGACTGAAACATCTACACTTTATCTTTCAGTTTTATTTTTGTTCAAACATTTTGAAATGTGAAAAAAAGTTTGCTGAAATCAATTACAGAGAAATATCTAAATAAAATACATCAACTTACAACTTTTTCTAATTACAAAAGGTTTTCACACACTCAAAAAGACAAACAAACAAACAAACAAACAAACAAACAAACAAACAAACAAACAAACAGTTTGCCTACTTTGTGGCCTTTCTGCTTCCTTCACCCACTCTGTCATTCATAGACAGAAGTCCTTGTTCATCACTTTAGAGTATTTACCATCAGTACATTAAAGCTACATAGGATATGTTAAATAATCTCTTCACCGTGGAGGGAGGGTGGTTGGTTTTTATTTCAGCAGACATTAGGTGGGACACAAAGGCCAGTTTATTGTATGACAACACAAAAAGGAACAACTACACAAATACATGTATTTACTCCAAAGAAAAGAAAAGAAAAGAAAAGATAAAATAAGATAAGATAAGATAAGATAAGATAAGATAAGATAAGATAAGATAAGATAAGATCCTTTTTCCTGTTAACTTAACATGTTTTAAAACTGAGGGGAGTGAAAAACCCACCTTCGATTCAGATCAGGCAATGATGGCATTGTTTGTAAGATGCCATGCCAGAACTGGCCCAGTCGTGGTTTGGATTTATGTGGAGCTGGCCCATGAATGGACCACCTGTGTCAAAATACATGTGCCACCAAAGGGCTGTCAGTCTTTGTACTATTTGGGCTGACTGTTACTGTGTCATGTGGGTGTCGTTTGGGGACATTCCATTGACTTCCATTACATTTCTACAGCCTAACCCTGACCACAAACCCTAAGGCTAACCTCACAGGTACCTACCTGACCCTAAAACTAACCTAAACTCAATTCACACCTTGGTTCTAAACCCAACCCCCAACCCACCATTGGCATTTAAACCAAATGGGGACTCGACTTTTGTCCCCAAATGCACCAGTTGTCCCCAAATGTAGGACTTTTGTCTTAAAAATTGTCCCCAAATGTCACCAAAAACACCCCACCCACGCACACACACACCACATAACCCCCAGTTTCTCTGTGGAAGTTGGCATGACAGGAAGTATTTCTAAATCAGATTCCATCCTTTTCTTTGTGTAAAAGGTGAACGCACTGGCATCCAAAGTGAAAAGATCTTTACAAAATGTTCAGATATATCATTCCTGAAAAAAATATTGTTTGTCAAAAGAGAGTGAAGACTTGTTTGTTTCAATGGTCATCTGACTAGCTGGTTGTTGGTTGATGTTTATAAACTTCAAGTGTCCTTAAAATTACTCTGAAATTTGATTTAATACAGGTGTTGCTCTGTTCTTTATTTCGTAAATTAGCTTAGCTCTCCACGGTCTGGACCAAGGAATCAAATATGTGGTATGTCTGTGTCAAACAGTCATTTAAATAGGACTAGTTGCAATTTCTGCGAGGAAAAAGGATCTGCAGGATAAGGGTAATCTTTGAACAATTTTACAAAAAACAAAGGCTACAAAAAATCCCAACAGCTGCTAATAAAAAAAACACTTTTATCCTGACGTCATTGACACAATGAAAAGATTATTTTTCTAAGAGAAAAGATGAAAAGATGTAAAACCTCAAATTTGGCGGGCTCTGCCAGGTCCTGCCACTCCTCAATGACGTGGTTCCAGTCCACGTCGCCGAGCTGCAGTCGTAGTTCACCAATGACCTGGTGTTTGGTGAAGCGGTTGAAGTCGAACACCTTCATGACGGCAGTCGACTTCAGCAGAGAAGACCTGGGCAGCTGAGGAAACATAACTGCAGTTAAGAGGAAGAAAAATGCTGGCTGATGGGGATTTAAAGCCAACAAACATTTTGAGGACAAATTATGTATATTAAAACAAGATCACTCATCAGAATCAATAATATCTTGTGTTGCCAATGTTCAGAGGACTTGATAAATGTTTTCAGGTCTGTAAACAGAACGTTAACTTGATTTGAAACAGTAAAATCAAAGTTCATGTCTACAATCTTCAAAAAACATCAGGTAACAAGCCCAGATCTACAGGTGATGCCGATTATTCATGTTAACTTGTGTTCTACAGCCAGGCTCTCAAACTGAACTTTGAGTTGGACCAGAACCTGGTGTAAAGAGATCCAAACTGGTTCTGTATGTCACCATTTGAGGGAATCTTTCTACAGCATTTTGCTTTGATTTAAGGTGTGTGTTTTGCCACCAGAAACAGAGAAAAAGGCTGACTGAGAGTCTTTTAGGCTCATTCTTGATATAAAGTAGAAGAATAAATCTCTGTACCTGGAAGGTGAACTGCTCATTGAAGACCGGGCTCAGCGTGTTTTTGAACACCTTGGTCTCGTACGTTTTGGACTTTTCAGGGAGAATGTAGAGTTTGACGTATGGGTCTGAGCTCCCTCCCAGGTCCATGGCCTTCAGGTTGTTGGCTTGTTTGATTCCCACTGTGAGCTGTAAATTAAAAACACAGTACAGAGTGGGGCCAGAAGCAATTCTTGGATCACGTGAATCTGTCTGTTGACGATTTCAAATGAAAACCAAAATTCAAATAATGGTGGTGTAGGGGTCAACTCGAGTGAAATAATCAAGGAAACTGTCTTGGACCTCAATCCTCTGATGGGCCTTTAAAGAGACAAAACCTTTGTTCCACTTAGAACTGAATTTAGGCCACCTCAGGTTGCCTTAACTTGTCAAAGAGACATTCTCTTTTTCTTAATCAGATAATAGACAGAAGAATCTTCTTCTTATTTGATTTATTGTCCTCTTAACTGAAAGTTATTACACATTTTGATAATCAGCGAATGACAAAGACGGACAGTCACTCTCAACTGGATTCTCCCTGGAGAATCAGAGCTAAAGCTGTGCCAGTTCTACCCCTTTTGCCAATGGGGAACCGCACGGCCGGATACAACCACCTCCTGGTCTATCCAACTTGTTTTAAAATCTTCCTGTCAGAAGTGTTTACTTTGAAACAGGGATCCAGTTTGGCTTCACCTTTCTTTCTATGGCTTGACGCAGATGTACGCAGATGCTGAAAGTTAACAGGCCTGGAGTGTTCAGCTAAGTGGCCGGTCCTTCGGATTTTCCACTACCTGAGAAACCTCACCGAATACCTGGATGGGTAACTGACCTCATCTTTAAAGGTTGTAGGGGTCACCTCGAGTGAAGAAACAGGAATTACTGCCTCAAAGCAGGTCTCGAAAGGCCTGAGAGAAGGCAGGAACACTGAACTCTATTTTAGGCCATGATGGGTCATTTCAACCTACATGAGGACTTCAGTTCTCTAATCAGATATTAACAGAAACAATCTGTTCTGTTCGTGATTCATTGGTTGTTTAACTAAGAATGTTTCACGAACAGAACAGATTGTTTCTGTTAATATCTGATTAGAGAACTGAAGTCCTCGTGTAGGTTGAAATGACCCATCATGGCCTAAAATAGAGTTCAGTGTTCCTGCCTTCTCTCAGGCCTTTCGAGACCTGCTTTGAGGCAGTAACTCCTGTTTCTTCACTCGAGGTGACCCCTACAAGGTAAAGCTGGCTGTTACATGAGCTTCACTTTCTGGCTGATGTTGAGAAGAGAAACACCTGGCCTCTCTGGTTAACCCACATTATTTAAGTTAAAAGTTAGTAAAGCTAACAACTTAATTTTCTCATTTTCTTAAAACCTACCTTGCCAAACTTAAGTTATTTGCCACAAATGTCTGGTATTCAACATCTAAATTTGACGTTTGTGTTCTATTTAAGTGCCTAACCATTAACGAAGCTTGAAGCGCTTGTTATTGTTGGTTACAAACTTTTATATGAAATTGATTGCTCACAATTAAGTGTACTGTAGTGATTTTGTGTGATTATGTAAAATAAATGATGACATTTATTTATGGATCAATTCAAAATTCACTGATTGAAGCTACTTATTATGTGTCCATTCACTTTGCACTGGAAGAATATTTTACCAAAAATAAAATGTTTCTTACTAAAATAATATCCCTATAACCTTGTTATAAGAGTGTAAGTTAAACCCTTACAGTGGAAACAAAAACCACACTTTATTTGTTTCCAGCAAAGACTTTAGTTTTGACTAAATCAGTTTTGGAGGTCAGTAATTGTGCCTGGAGTGAGTTCAGAACAGAGGACTCTCAAGCTTTATGACTAAATGTGCTTACATCGTCGAAATAAAAAGAAGAGCTCTGGTTGTCCATGATTGTTTGATTATGTTGGAGGTACAGCGGGTAAAATAAGTATTGAACACGTCACCATTTTTCTCAGTAAATATATTACTAGAGGTGCTAATGATATGAAATTTTCACCAGATGTCGGTAACAACCCAAGTGATCCATACATACAAAGAAATCAAACATAAATGTCCAGAAATTAAGTTATTTGTAATAATGTGGAATGGCACAGGGAAAAAGTATTGAACACGCTTACTGAAATTTATCTAATACTTTGTACAAAAGCCTTTGTTGTCAATGACAGCTTCAAGACGCCTCCTGTATGGAGAAACTAGTGGCATGCATTGCTCAGGTGTGATTTTGGCCCATTCTTCCACACAAACAGTCTTCAAATCTTGAAGGTTTCGTGGACCTCTTCTATGAACTCTGATCTTTGGTTCTTTCCATTGATTTTCTGTTGGATTCAGGTCAGGTGATTGGCTGGGCCATTCCAGCAGCTTTAGTTTCTTTCTCTGAAACCAACTGAGAGTTTCCTTGGCTTTGTGTTTGGGCTCATTGTCTTGCTGAAATGTCCAGCCACGTTTCATCTTCATCATCCTGGTAGATGGAAGCAGATTTTTATCAAGAATGTCTCTGTACATTTTTCCATTCATCCTTCCTTCAATTATTTGAAGTTTGCCAGTACCATATGTTGAAAAACAGCCCCACACCATGATGTTCCCACCTCCAAACTTCACTGTTGGTATGGTGTTTTTGGGCTGATGTGCAGTGCCATTTGACCTCCAAACATGATGTGTATTCTGGCATCCAAACAGTTCAATGTTGGTCTCATCTGACCAGACTATACAGTATTCTCCCAGTATTACACAGTCTTGTCTAAATGTTGTGCAGCAAACTTTAAAGGAGCTTCAACATGCTGTTTCTTCAGCAGTGGAGTCTTGRGTGGTGAGCGTGCATACAGGCCATGGTGGTTCAGTGCATTACTTATTGTTTTCTTTGAAACAATCGTACCTGCTAATTCCCGGTCTTTCTGAAGCTCTCCACAAGTGGTCCTTGCCTCTTGGACAACTCTTCTGATAATTCTTTTCACTCCTCTGTCACAAATCTTGTGAGGAGCACCTGGTCGTGGTCGGTTTATGGTGAAATAATGTTCTTTCCACTTCTGAATTATGGCCCCAACAGTGCTCACTGGAACCTTCAGAAGTTTAGACATTCTTCTGTAACCGATGCCATCATTATGCTTTGCAACAATAAGGTTGTGAAGGTCTTGAGAGAGCTCTTTACTTTTACCCATCATCAGATGGTTCTTGTGTGATACCTGGCCATCATTTGGGACTGAACCAGCTGATATTAARTTGCACTGACAAGGGGCAGGCTTGCTTTCTAATTACTGAGAGAGTTCAGCTGGTGTCTTGTCTTTCCATGGTTTTTTACACCTCCCTTTCTTCATGTGTTCAATACTTTTTGCCTGTGTCATTCCACATTATTACAAATAACTTCATTTCTGGACATTTATGGTTTGATTTCTTTGTATGGATGGATCACTTGGGTTGTTACCAACATCTGGTGAAAATTTCATGTCATTAGCACCTCTAGTAATATATTTACTGAGAAAAATGTTGACGTGTTCAATACTTATTTTACCAGCAGTATATCGAAACTTGAAAGAAGAGGAATGGACTCTTGTAACACTCTGCTGTTACAAGAGTCCAGGAGTGTGAATGAGAGGGAGGCAGGTGGAGCAGTGAGGCTACAAGGAGCAGAGGTCACAAAGATCCAGGACTTCAAAGACTTGAGGGTCCACTGTCCAGGAAAATGGTGAAGAGGTGAAGAGAAGTATTAGGAGTGATTTGTGACCAAACGGGTGGCAGTAAAGGTCAGAGGAAAGCTTTATAAGAGAGCATGTGTGTGTACTAACTAATTCATGTTACCTCAGACAGAGCAGCGTTGTATTCCAAAGAATAAAGCAACTTTCCTCTGTATACTTTGGTTGAACCATAGTCAACATCCACAACATCTGGCTGAACCTGGAAGAGGAGCAAAAGAGACACATCAGTTAAAAACATATTTTAAACACAGAGCCAGGTCAAACCATCTGCGTGGTTTAAACAGAACCTCCAACGCTTTTCAACTTACAGGCCTGTAATTTATCATATGCAGCTCCTTCACTGACTATTAAGAACATTTGGACCTCTGAGTTCAAACATGTTTGTGATAAATTTTGAAAATGATTTTATTTTTTAGCTAAATGAAGCTACAAATCACTGATGTAAAATCAAACACTTTAGGTTTCAACAATCACAGATTGCTTCACATCAGAACTTGGGTCTCACCAGAACTGTGCTGGTTTTCCCATCTACTCCTTTCAGATTGATCTGCTCATCTCTCTGAAATTTCTTCTTCTTTTTCCCTTTGCAGCAACATTTGATACAGATACACAGACAGCAGAGCAAAATCAGCAGGATGCCCACTGCAACGATGACATAGATCGCCCATCGAGGCACTGCAGGAGGGAAGACAGGGAGAAATGTCAGAGAGGGTCTTTATGTGATCACAAAGTGACATAAAACTGTTACTCTGTTATATTAGTTCATGTTAATTCTAAAAACCCAGTATTCCTTAAAATAGGACCAATAAACTACCATCTTTCAGCTATTTTTTTTTACAAATATTGTGTTAGTATTTGGTGTGGCAATACCTGAGAGTAAGTGAGATGTCTTGCAATATCACAAAAGATTGAGCATGTGATCAAAGTTCGACCAAAAATGCATTAATTTCATCATTTCACAGCAGATGATCTCAAGTTAAAACAGAAAAGTTGCTGTGCATTACTTCAAGGAATGTTGGACCTTTAAAATAGATGTTTTAAAATCAGTTTTCATATTTAAATCATTCAGGTGAGGTTTAATTAAAGAGGAACTGCAACGCTTTGGTCTGAATTCCTCCTTAACCCTACAAGCCCCGCCCCTTTTCTGAGGTGTGTCTCAGATCAACTCATTTTGAGGCTGTCTCTTTAAATGAAAAAAGGGAGGGATTTACAACTATATAGCTGCGCAGAAGCTTTTTATTTACAAACTAAAAGATGTCAACAAGGGAAGACTTGTCTGTTCAGCCTTACATGTTGGAGCCAGAGTCTGACCGAGAACCAGAGGAGAATGAAGACCACCAAACTGTAGTTGATACGTCCAAACATTATTTAGAAGTTACATTCAAATACTGTGATGTAATAGATCAGAAAACCTCATCGAACATATAAAGATGTCTATGCAGAAACTAAATTCAACATTTCTGCACTCCTAGAGTCTCCAAATAAACAACAAAATGTGTTTAATGGCTTAAAAAAGTGGACTTTGCATGATGCGTCCCCTTTAATTTATAAAATGTTTGTTCAGTGTGACACCCATTTAAGAAAGTTTCTGTTTTTAAGTCTGAAGACACACCAACAGCATGAGGCTTCAGCTCGTATTGAGCTCAGGGTCGATACGTTGACTCATGCTGGACAAACATTGTTAACTCTGGAAACTGAACCCACCCAGGAAACAACCGGCTTGATAAAGACTCTTGTGTCACATGAAACAGAGCAAATCTAATTACACTACTGACATCAAACTTTGTTTTTGAACACTTATAATCGTTAAGTTAATGGAAGAGAAAAACAGCACAAAGTTAAATAAAGTAAAGTCAATAATCCACCTAATGCTCATCTCCTCTGTGCCTAGTGGGTATATTTCTCCTCTCTCTTTTCTCGTTCTCTGTCTCTGTTTGCAGGTTAATATACTTACTGGACAGAAAGGTCAGCCAAGAGACGGTCCAAAGATGGTCCAACAGTTTAAGAACAACATTTTTAATTTAGTGATTTCATCATCTACAGTTATCATCAAAAGATTCAGAGAATCTGGACAAATCTCTACAAGTCAGCAGCAAGGCTGAAAACCAACACTGAATGTTTGTGACCTTCGACCCCTCAGGCAGCTCTGCATTAAAAACACATCATTCTGTAACAGGCATTAACACATGGGCTCAGGAAGACTTCAGAAAACCATCGCCAGTGAACACAGTTCATCTCTACATCTACAAGTTAAAGCTCTATCATGTAAAGACAGATATCAACAACACCCAGAAACACCGCTGGTTTCTCTGGACCTGAGCTCATCTGAGATGGACTGACACAAAGTGGACAAGTGTCCTGGGGTCTGACCAGTAAGAATGAAAGAATTCAGCTACAAAACCTCAACAACTAAATGTCCTCAGTTCACAAACACTTATTGTTGTTAAAGCTGATGGAACACAGAGGGAAACATGAACCTGTCCCAGATTTATTAGCATGTGTTGCAACATCAAAGTAAATATTTGCAAAAAAACAATAAAGTTTGTCAGTTTGAACATTAAATATAAAGAATTTGCAAATCATTGTACTTTGTTTTTATTTATGTTTTACATTATGCCCCAGCCTCACTGTAATTGGGGTGGTAGTAGTAGTAGTAGTAGTAGTAGTAGTAGTAGTAGTAGTAGTAGTAGTAGTAGTAGTGGTAGTAGTAGTGGTAGTAGTAGTAGTAGTAGTAGTAGTAGTAGTAGTAGTAGATGTGGTGGTGCTTATTGTCTGCAGATTGAGACAGGCAGGAGTGCTGCCAAGGTGCGAGGTCCAGTAATCACTTTTTGCAGTTTGTCGTTGTTTGTGTTACACAGGTAATCACTACAAACAAGATGAAAAGTGAAAACAGGTGGTGGTTTGTTCAGGTGAAAGCTGTTCTTTACTGACTTACAAGGAATCTGATTCATCAAGTCATCAAAGAAGTTGCCACTAGTGGTTCTAGTGTGGGAGGATGTGGTGGAGATGATGAGCATGGGATGAGCAGCGACGGCTAATTTAGCTTTGCCACGTCCGAGCATGGCTGATGGCTTAGACATGGTGTTTGATGGCTGATTAATGGTGAGGATGATGAAGAGGTCTGGAAGCGAGATCTGTGAGAAAAGTTCAAACTGAAAGGTTAATAGAAATTGAAGGTGTTAGATACAAAGCACAAGACATGAAAAATTAGTCATTTCAGGTGCTGTAATAAACTATTATTAAAACTAGAGAATTTACATTTCCGGTGAAAATGCAGCGTGAATACTTAATGCTGAAAGATTTTCCTTAAACTCTGCTGAAAAAGATGAAAATGTTTATTAGCAAAACTGTTAAAGGCACAGTGTGCAGGATTTGTTGTTTTCAGCGACATCTAGTGGTTGAGTGGTTGAATCATCCTCCCTGGTCCTCCCCCCACCCCCACCCCCCGCTTCCAAACGCAAAGGAGTTGCTACGGTGTCTCTCAGGTGTCAAAAACCTTTGATAATTCCAACCGCGATGTCTACCAGCAGCTTCAGGGCTAGTGATGTTTCAAGTGGTAAGATTATGAGCTTTAATAAGTAAAATTATCCCAGCTACAGTACAATGACAGACAACAAATATTACATTTATAGTATTACAACTAAAACCTTTTTGACGCCGCCACCGCAGTTTGTCCTTCATGAGCCTTCGTAGACAAGATGGCGGTGCAAGATGGCGGTGCAAGATGGTGGCTGCCTGTAGTGGCGATCCGTGACCATGGAGATATAAACAGCTTTTTATAAGGTAAAAATAACAAAACAAGGTCTTTGTCTGCAATAATTAGATATGTTTTTTATTATTGTCGTTAGTGATTATCTCAATTTCGGCTAAAAGAATTGGCAAAATCCTACACACTGTGCCTTTAAAGTGAGTTAAATTTGAACAGCTGAATTTTGCTGAAAGTACAGTAGGAAAACAAAAGTAGACAGAAGCAGAAACAAGTTGAAATCAGCAGACACTGAAGCTCATGGCAGAAAAACAAAACAAAGCAGTACATAAAATTTGCAATTTGTTGTAAAATAGCTAAAGCAATTAAAATTAGCAGAAAAATAGCTAAAAAATAAAAGTAGAGGAAAAGGCTGAAATTAGCACAAAGATGCAGAAAGAGCATGTTTGCTAAATTAAGCTAGCCTGGTAAAAACCAGGGGTCGGATTCATAAAACTGGCGTACGCACAATTTGAGCCCAGAAACTTGCGTACGCCACTTTTTACGCCAAGGTTGTGATTTATAAAATCCAAACTTGATGTGAAAATGTGCGGTGCCTCAAAGCTCTGACCCATGCGTACGCTCATTTTGGAGATGTGAACCTGCGACACAGATGGTGAAGTGAGGAATTAGAGCCACACTGTGTAATGATCACTGTCAGATATTTAATTTACCTTCAGAATCAGACTTAAATAAAAGTTCCCGTGCGCAACTCCCTTCATCTGCTTCCTCCTCAGACGACCCTGACCCACAGACCCCTCCCTGACCCACAGACCCCTCCCTGACCCACAGACCCCTCCCTGATCCACAGACACCTCCCCGACAAGAACAGCAGGACAGCAAAAGTCACGCTTTAGATACACGCGCAGGGCGCATCCACATCGCCAGTGTGGATGTTATAAAACTTCACGTTTAAAGTCCGTATTTGTAACGCGGGCGCGCGGGTATGTGTGTGTGTGTGTGTGTGTGTGCGTGCATGCGTGCGTGCGCGGGGGTGTCTGCCGCGGATAACAGAGCAGGCAGGAGGGGGAGAGGACGAGGAGAAGAGCGGTGGACTTACTTTTAATTTTGTCTGACTTATTTAATTTAATTTTTTATTGTTTTTATCGTCCTGCAGGCTCTGATGAAAAATAAATTTGAAGCTGAGCTTTTTTAAAATAAAAATCGTTAGATTACTCTAAAGCAAAATGAGGGAAAATCTGTGTCAATTACAGACAATGTGTTCACGTGAGCAGCTGTCAGTCAGCACCTGTCAACCTCCAGACGCATGACGGAGCGTTTCTGAACCAATCACTTTTGTTGGCATTGATCAGCTGACTGATTTAAATACATCTTAACATTCATGAGGTACTTTACATTGACTGTTTATGGTTGAGTGTGGACGTGTAGAGGGTAGAACCTGAGGCGGGACCTCGTGCGCAAACTCTGACGTGCGGCTGTGATTTATAAAGGAAAGATGCATAGAAACATGCGTACGTACCGTTTTATAAATCTGAAATTTTTTTTTGGCGTACGCCATTTCTGCCTTTTGGCCGTACGTTCACTTTTAGTATGGTTTTCACGCAATCCTTTATAAATGAGACCCCAGCCCTTTGTTCTACACTTTGCTTCATACAGAGGGTCTGGACTCTCAGCTTTTGAGAAGCAATTTTCTTGCTGGAGTCGTGGCATCTGTTGAAGTTTAAAACGTTTGGATCTGATATACACAATCACTAATGTTTGGCCGACAAAGGTAGTGTGCCAGCTCAATCGTGAAGGATGCTAAGCTAAGAAGCTAACTGGAAATTGCATGTGCTGCAAATATTCATCCTCTGCTGAGAGGAGACAAGTAGCTAAATGAGATGTCTGTAAATGAGAGCTGCAGGCTTTGAGAGACAAATTTTATTTAATTTATCAACACAGACTGAATGGCTTCATTCACTTCCTCCACTGCCATTGCTAAACTACAAGCAGACACTGCGTCGAAACTCAACATCATTGTTCACAACTCTTCCTTCTGCTCTCTGATTGGCCTGGTTGAAATTCAACCGGAGAAATCCTTGTTTATGGAAGAAATCCCCGACAGAGCAGTGAAGGGATACTAGATTGATTTGTGTAGGAAGCTGTGTGGGAAGGTAAGGGCCAGACTAGAATTAAGCAGTAGCTATAATTTAGATGAATTGGGGAGTTCAGATGAATAAAGTTGAACTCAGCTGAAAATAGCTAAGTAGCTAAAAAGGCAGAAATCAGCAGAAATCAGCTAAAAGAAGCCTAAAAAGCTGAAAATAGCAGAAAGAAGCTAACAGAAATGTAAAATTAACTAAATAATGCCAGAAAGGAGCAGAAAAAAGTTAAAGTTAGCACATACAGTAGAAGTAGAAAAAAATGCTGAACCAGAACAAAATGTACAGAAAAGATTTCTAAACATTTTAAAGGGTTTTTGGGATGTAGAAGATAAATCCATTTGTTTTCAATGAGAAAAAAGTGTCAGAAAAAGCTAAATAGCTGAAAAAATAAAAGATGCAGAAATACCAAAATGCATAACACCCATGGCATAAATAAGCTGAACGTTTTGAGGAAATAGCACAAAAATTGTGGAACAAGTTAGAAGCTGAGAAAAATGGATCATCTCGTGTCCCACACATTACCACCACCATTAAGCTCTGGGTGGATGAAAACATTTCTAGAAAAGGTGTAGCGTTTACGAAGAGTAAAGTGTGGAGACAGGATCTTAGACTTTGTTAATCCAGGCTGAGGGAGGAAAGCTTTGTAACAACAGTGTGGAATGAAATCTAATAAAGATGAGAGCTGTGAGAGCACGCTGCCATGCCTGAGTGAAGCTCCACCTGTGGGCCTCCACCATGAACAAACAGCCAGCAGCAGCATATTAACTCCACGCCTGTTTCATGCTCTGATAGCAGCACACATACATTTTAACTACCTTCTGACTCAGGCTAACATTAACCAAACCCTAGTTTTCACACAAAGTCATAAATGCAGTATAAAGAACATTTTACTTTGATCTTTCTTAACTTTGGAAACTGAGGCAAGAATTTGTGCACAACAAAGTTTTGATTTGTGTTTTAAAGGTCTAAAACAACCCTAACATAACCTATAATCCTATCACAGAACCGCAGAGTAAATCTTGACATTTATAAGACTACAGATAATTTATTTTTATCCATCTCACAGGATCAGAAAGTAAAAGACTGAGCTGTAAGAATCAGATTTTACTCACTTCTGTAGATGTTTTACGCAAAACACCAACATCAAGTATCCCTGAGCTCCACCCTGATGGCTGCCTGACACTGAAGTGTTTCCCACTCAGAAAATAAAAAAAAAAACATTTTGTGTCGGTGAGCGACTGAAGAGGAAGGAGATGACGTTTTACTTTGGAACTGGATTGGAATGGACCTCCCCTTTGATCATTAACGCTTTTGATCACAGAGAGGAAGCATCTGCTTATCGGCTCACGTTAAAGTGATTCTGTTGTTTTCACTGTAATCAAGATTTCCTGTAATCTTTATGTGCAGCAGGACAAAACTATTGCTATTGTTTAAAACTACCTGTCCTGACTGTGTGGAAGTCTAAAATAAAGCAGAAAAAAAGGAGAAAAGCTTAAGCTGAGATGAGTTTAAATTTTATGACCACTGTGATAATATGCAGCTAAAATCAAATTTGTTTTCAATATTTCTAAGAATAATTTACAATTATTTTTATGACGCTTCTTTATTCTTCTGACCGTGGTGACTGATGTGCTGGCAAAAACATTCAAAGCATTTAAAAGTATTGACTGTCTAATGAACATTATCCTAATGATATTAGGGATGGGTACAAAGTGGACTGAGTTGGGTACGATGCCTTCTGTCTTCATATCTGTTATCCACAAAGAATCATGTAACAAACAGAGATGTAAACAAGTTGACATAAACAGGACAACATGCATGAATATTAAAGTCTATTATGTCTTATTTAGGTAGAATTCCTGGAAGAAAATCAGCAATGAAGTCCTCGTTAAACTTTGTAGATGTGTATTGGGGTGCACTGAATCGACCAGCATTCCCCAATTCATTGGCACCAATTTTCTTAATTTTAGGTTATCAGATCAGCCTTGGATAAGACCGATGGAAAGGATCGGCTTCTCATCTACCTCCACAAAGGTCTGAAAATCAGCCACTGTTCCCTTCTGCTGTGAGCACTACCTAACATCCAGTTAAAACAAGTTTGTATCGTTTCAAGGGTATTGTTCAGTGTTTTTCAATAAAATAAGACTGGAACATTGAAGTTGTATTGTGACCTTTATAACACCGGACAGTGTCAGCTATTTAAAAAATCAGCATCGGCCAAAATGGGAATCTGCAGGTCAGACGTTTTAAAGATTGGTGATCGGTGATTGGCCATAAAGCTGCAATCGGTGTACCCCTAATCTGTATACAAAAAAACAACTGATCCAAGCTCAAATAAGTTCATCTTAAAGCTGAAAGAAGATAAAATCATCATGACCTGTTTACAGAAATGGCTCTTCCAGTAAGCAGTTTCCTATACCTCCTAGATAACCTCATCCTCAGAGAGTTAAAGTAGGTACAGTCCAGTGACAAAACCTCTCAAAAACCACTAGAACCGGCATCCCCACATGGCAGACCTATGTCCAAATCTGGACTGATTGATGGTTCTGTAGGACCTGTTCCCAATCTGATAAACATGTGAAACTACGGGTAGGCAAGACCATAACAAACAAAATTTGGACTTTTGTTTTGACCTTGGAAGACATTTTACTAACTGGACCGCAGTGAGTTTTAATTGAATATCCCTGCACAAGAATCACCGACGATTATGTTTCAAAATCCATTCCAAGGGAGGTGAAGACCGAGCATTCACCAAGGCCATCTTGGCCAGGGCAGGAGGTGGGCTAATAGTTGCCCAAGGATCCTGAGCTAGCAGCTGGAGGTTGTGATGATTCACCCTGATCCTACGGCGGTGGAGAAAGGTGGAGACAACGAGATGGTTGCCCCTCATCTAGGCTAGAGAAGACCCAATAGAATCTAAAGAGCAAAGTGCCCTAAAACCACAACATGCAGACTCAGTATCTCCAAAGACAACGGAACACGCTAAACAGGTTTTATGTTTCATCAGCCATGACGTTTCTTGGGATGTCTGCTCTCTGATGCATACTTTGACTTCTCGTCATGAAATAGTCAGTTAGTCAACATTTACCATCTGATCCAGACCCGATTGCAAATGTTTCATCAGTACGGTCTTCGACACTACAACTTGTATCGTGCCAGTTTGTAGACCCACCCAATGATGAGAGGAAGTCACATGTTTTACATGTTGCAGCAGAATTAGACCAGCGAACCAAAAAGACATGGAGAGAAGAACGTTTTTTTGGCTTTCTCACCCAAACTGACCCAAGTTCTCTAAAAAGTTTAAAACATTTAAAAGAGTTTTGGTGAGAGTTCAGCACTATGATTGAGTTGACAGGCAGAGCACACAAACTGGAATCATCCTTATCTGTGTTGACTTTGCTTTGAAGCCATACCTTTATGTTAAGAGTCACAATGAATAAGATCCACCTGAGACTGACTGTGTATATTTTCAACAACAACCCCCAAACCACCACCTGTAAGTATTTCGGGTGCCAGACGTGACCCTTGATTCCTGGTACATGTTGTTCTCTTATGCCCCTTTTCCACTAGTGCCACTTAGTGTAGTGCAGAAGGATCTTTGTAGGTACGGGTCGGACCGGTTGGTTTTCCACTGATGTTCCAGTCCGGTTCCAATGGGTGTGTTTTGGGCAGCTGGTGGAGGTGGTTTTTAAGTATTTTGAAAAAAAAAATGGGCAAAATGAGAGATGGAAACACATTTCATGACTAACTTTTGAAATTTTAAACATTTGCAAAAATTTAGTCAATCAGCGACAAACAGTGTTCTGATGTTGCATTTTGGTGTCAGCTGGGGCCGGTTGGAACCACAATGAAGTAGGTACTAAAAAAAGTGCTGGTTCCATGGATCTGGCCTAACAGAAATGGCTTGGAACCGTACCGACACTACACTAAGTGACACTAGTGGAAAAGAGGCATTAATGTGTTGCTGCAATGAGTGCATTACTTCAGCTCTTTGTCGTTTAATGTTTTTATATCAGATGTTATGAAGAATCTTCAGCACTCATTGCAAGTTTTGTAAAAAAATAGAATAAAATAAATAAAACCCACCAGGGTAAAAAATAAAATAAAATTTAAAAGCTTGAAGATAAAATGTATTATCTGTAAGATTAAACAATAAAAAACACAAACTCATGCAATATTACAATATGTCACGTAAAGTATTTTAAGCTACTAACAACATTTTAGCTCAATATCTGTGTAATGGTTGTTCAGTCATCTTGAATTGTGTTATTATGCACATTCATTTATTATTTCATTCAAGTTTGATTAGCATTTTTTTCAGTTGTTCAGTGGTTCATGAAATATTTTTCTAACAGGCAAACAAACACAGGTACAAATATATGGAGGTAATTTAGTTTTTTTATTGTTCAAACAAAAAAGCAGTTTCAATCAAAAAAAATTAAGTAAAAACATTTTCAGTCAGTTTTTTCCGATAAAAAAAATCAACCAATCCAAAAAAACCCCAATAATTTCAACCAAACAAAAAAGAAATTTCAACCAAAAAATGACAATAACTGAAACAATTAAAAACAATATATTTTGATCAATTCTTTATTAAAATTGCTTTTTTGTTTGACTGAACAATAAAAAAACAAAATTACCTCCATACAAATACATTGCTTTTGCCTTCAGTTGGCAGACGATAACCTAAAACGAGAAAAAAAGAAACTATAAAACAAGCATAAAACTGACTGAAGAAAAAGTAAATGTGACACATTAACTTCATGTCAATCCTTCCTCCTGTGTGTTTAGCAGGCCTGACATCAAACCTGTCCTATGAATAAGAAGGAAACAAGAAGAACAAACCTGAGTCCTGAGAAGTCCTTCTTATTTATTCCTCATTCCTCCTCTTTTTGTTCAGTCGGCTGGGAAGTTTCACTTTGTCTCTTCTTCAACCTCAATCGTCCATCTTCAGTTCCTCAGTGTGTTTACTTCAACCTGAAGCAGCCACCACACCTGCTAAACACACACACACACACACACACACACACACACACACACACACACACACACACACACACACACAC